TGCAGGCTTACGTTTACAATGGGTGGAAGAGAGTTTGATCCGGATCAAGACAAGGGTCCGTTAGAAGGTACAGATTTTATTCCTTAAAGACAATCTATTACTACATTTAGTAACAGTGTTATTAAATGGCTGCTGCCTGGGGTGAAAGAAAGTTACTATTTCGGCAACTTCACCCCCATATGATGATAGCTTGCGTTAACTTTCTCTGATATAGATTACGGAGTTACGCACGGATGTGCGCTTCGGGTGACAAGACAACCTAACACGGCCCCGGATGACAGTACCGGCTTCGACTGGGATGTTTTTCCGTGAGTGTTTACAATATGGTTGTGTGCACAGAATGCAAGCATCCTGATAGCTCGTAAACTTTTTAGCAGTCATAAACAAGAACAACTACATGAATTTAAGAGCGCGAGGTGATTTCTTTTGTTAGGACCAAGGTTGTTTTTACGCAGGAGTAGCACTGAGAACAGGAGGAGTAAAGACGTCCAAATTGAACTGGTGTTCATTGACCTTGTCGTGGTCGTGCAAGCTTCTTTAATCCCAGTTCAATTTGTTATGGTGGTGAAAAAGGGCGCAAATTACGATTACGGCTATGAAAGGATTTTTTCCAAAAGCGGAAATGCTTAACAACTGAAGTCTCAGCGTTGTAAGGCAAGCAATATAATTGTTAAAAAAAACAGACCTTGCTAGGGTTTAAAGCAAGTGTGTGAATTTTAATTTGTATCCGGGTTAACTTAATAAAAAGGGTACAACGTAGTGATATTTCTAATGTCTATTTTTTTCTTTCAAACAGGCAACCAGGTAAGCAGAGAACCGAGGGGAATTGGTAGAGAAGGTGAAACAAAAAGAAATTAACACTAATGGTGCAATCCTTAATCATTTGCTATCCGTTGAGCACATCTTTAGAATTAGCGATTGAAGACGTCAAAATCGTATTCAAAATATCTGGATGTCTCACGATGTTTTGAACGGGAGTTTTTGCCTCTATTTTCACCTTTGTCTTGAAATTATCTTACAGTGTTACATCCATTCATTTAGTATTTCCCTTGATCATTATTTCATTTTATTGAGTGTTCGTTCATTTATTCAGTATTTTGTAATGATCTCTCGTCTTCTGAGACTGAGAGCATCAACAGATGTAAGACTTAAAGAATAAGAATAGAGTACAATAAGCTTCTTTTTCAGGCAACAGAATTTTAGGGGGTAGGGGGTGCAGAATGCGCACAGATTTGGAAAACAATGCCGCGTGTTTGTTTTGCGAGATTCATCCTAACTCCAAAGTGAACGTTTGATTGATGTGTTCTTCCGACCATCCGATTACACGATTGACATCTAAAAAGAATTCAAAAAGTCCCTTCACCTCGCCGGCAAAGCACACTTTGCATTTGCTATTGGTCTGTGAGGAGGATTGTAATCACCCTAATATCCACTGAGAGAGCGGCACTGCTATCAACAATGACTCCATCTACAGCTATTTTACAAAACTGGTGCGAGACAATTACTTATGACAACTGGTCGATTCACCAACTCTGAATGCCAACATATTGGACTTGGCCCTTATTGAAAACAACATTGACGCCTCCTTGTCAAACTGACTCAGTGATTTTGTCGGCTGTTTCTGACCACGTGCCAAAGTGTCGAATCAAAAACACCTCTTATCATCCCTGGTTTGACTCCGCGGAATTGTTGCATCTGATAAAGAAGAAGAATCCACAAAGAAGGAAGGCTCGCTCTATTGGCAAACCCGAGGACTCGATGAAATTCAACGCTCTCCGGCGTCCGACCAAGAACCTAATGTTTCAAAAGAAGAAAGACTCAGCACTCTAGCAAGGCGATAGCCTTCTCAGCAACCTTAAGTGCTTTTGGTCATTAATGAAATATTCAACTTCTTTAAGGTCTAGACCTAGTTTTTTATGGGATGGTCAAAGAATTATGAAGAACAAAGTTAGTAGGCCTAACTTGATGAATTCATTCAGTTCCATTCAGTATTCACCCCTAAAAACAACGATTACACTGGTATTTAGCAACTCTAAACTGGTCAGCCTCTTTCAGAATCCGAAGTTGAATGGTCCTGTCTGTAAAGTTCAAGAGGTCTTATCCGACCTCGACCCTAACGAAGCAAGCGCATCGACGACATCCCAGGAAAACTTTTCAATACCACAGCCATAGTGATATCGCAGAGTTTGAGTAGACTGTTCAACATGTCCCTTTCACAAGTAGCTGTACCAGCAATATGAAGGAAAGCTAGCATCACTCCTATCCAAAAGGGCGACGACCCATCACTATCTGCCTGTTATAGACCGTTTATTTTTGTCCCTCTATACACTGTCCAAAATACTGGATGAGGATCATCTGGGGAGTTTAAAATGAGGGGGGAGGGGGCAGGGGCAGTTGTCAATTGGGACTTTGTCCCGTTACTGCCTCCTGTCACGAACTTCTCCATCTTATTGTATTTTGTTACGAATAAATTAACTTTAATTGGAGTGCCAAAGCACGTCAAACTTTGATTACAAGGAAATTTCATTCATTAACTACTCCATCAGCTTTCCTACTTCCCTTTCTTTGCATCGAAAGCTCTTGCTTTTGTTCCGTAATCTGTTCATTAATAGAAAATAACAGTAGTTCTCTGAGTGCTTCACTGTTACATTGTAATCACAGCCTTTTACTTGTTCAAATACGATAATCTTAAAATAAAAACCATTGCGTACTTGTCAAGTCAATCGACCAGTTAAAGAGGCACTCAGCTGAGTTCTAAATATCTAATTTAAAGTTAACGGTCATTCTTATTATTTACAGCTTTTGCAAGCATAGGTCCCCGAAACCATTCCTTTAAACACGGTGAGTAAATATCTTTTTTTTCTAATTGAAGTTATACTTTTGGCAAAAAATATTTTGTAGTTTGCATTACGCGGCGTTTTGTCTGGTTTTAAAAAACTCGACAGACTCCTCCTTAAAGAGGCCGAAGTTAAGGGGGCATTCTGGTCTAAAACTAGGACGATTGTGACCACAACTTTTAAAATTCATAAAAAATTCAAAATTTAGCCTAAATGGCTCACATTTTCACCAAAGAGGCACCTGATTATGCTTTCTTCAATATTGATCTTAAATTGCTGACCATGCATTTCTGAAGTTAATTATTAACCCTATAACATAAAATATTATTGTTAGACTTGATACACTGCCCCCTTTTGTTTCTAATGAAAATGCAGTCAAATAAACTTATGTTTGGCACATCAACTCTATATAAAAGGGACTACAACTTAATGGGGCAAAATTTGGTTACGGCGGATATTGTTGTCATGGCAACCAAATGAACATTTACTTTATGTTTTTTCCTGTAAATATGCTCCTATTTTATATGGTCTAATTTTGTCCCATTAAGTTGTAGTAGTCTATATGTTAAACACTTGAGCCAAGTTTGACTAACATACCTTAAATCTAAGAAACAAAAAAATAGGGGGCAGTACTGGCAGTAGGAAAAATGGCCATTTTTCAGAAAATAGCCTTAAACATTTGTAAAAGAGAAAAAACAATGAAAATGACTTCCATTCTCTCAACTACTGATTTGCTTTGATATTTCACCATAATACTATATCAAACAGCAGTAAATGTCACCAGGGAATGGCTTTTATGTCTGTTCATTTTTTTTTTCTCTTTCTTGATGGTCCACTGTTCAGTCCAAGATCATTGAAGCCTCCCGCCTCATATGTCACACCTTCCCGGTTGGACCTCAGCTCTTCATCCCTTTGTTTTGCCTGCCTCCTCATGATTCTGTAGTTCTTGTACTGTTTGTCCACTCTTGTCTCAGCCTGTTTTACTCTTTTAGAATCTCTCCTCTTAACGACATCAGTGTGGGCTTCTAAGAGAGCATCCTCATGTCTATACCATGTATCAATTGAAATACTGAAAGGCATATCTAACACTTCGCACAGTTTGGCTATTCCTTCCCTTCCTAAACCCATTTCAAAGGCACCATAAACAACTCTCCGATTTAAATCTTTTCCTTGGATAGTATTCGGTAATGTGGCATCAGATTTGTGGTATCCAGTAGCAAGTAGTTCTGACATTCCACATTCATCACACCTGGCATAGATGGAACTGCTCAAGCCAAATCTACTTGTACAGTCTTCTTCTAACTCAACATGGCCTAAAACAGCCAAAACAAAATAAACAGTTAAGAAACTTCATAACATAGCTATTAAGTTAAGCAGATTGTAGGTAGAAAGATAGATACGTTACATACAGATTACACGTGTATGTGATAAAGCTCTAGACTCACCTGAAGAGCAT